CGAAATAGGAGCACTATTTATCAATCTGTAATAAAAGATGTGAGGAAATTATGTCTTTTTTAAAGACAAAAATTTTTGAGGCGAAATGCCCAAAAAGAAGTTTGTAAAAAATGAATCCGCCTCAACAATATAGAACTTATGAAACTTTAACTTTCAAATATTAAATATTTAGTACGAAATTATTACAGCATAGGGTGACTTACGTACCTCGTGTAGAATATGATTTATTACAAGAGTGGGCACTTTTAAATGACCAAATCTCGGTCAGAAAACGTCCAATCGAAACGAAATTCATGTCAATCGACTTGTTCGCATCAAGATGCGAAATGCGCCTTTGCGACAGAGCATTTTCAATTGTGTTTTGGGGCACGAAAATTGAGGACTACAGTTTTTTCAGTAGGCAGCCTGAACTTAGAAAACCTATCGAACCGAATCGTTTTGAAATATACACTCAGTCGTTATGACTTTCCCGATAGTCCTTCTCGAAAACTATTTTTTCTGATCAGGTTTAATCACAAAGTCTTAACCTCTAAAGAGATAGAAACAAATTTAAGACAAAGGAGAAACAAAACAATCAATATTAATATTCAACAATATACCTAATCAGATTTTGTACACAACCATCCTTATGCGCGCCAAGGTTTAGTACAAAGTAATACTCTTAGCGTGATTAAACCTAATCAAAAACAGATACACTCCGTGGCCGAAGTTTGGTTTACTGCGACATTATTGTTTATTTAGTTTATATCAAAGGGGGTTATTTATCTAAAATATATTCGAATGCACTGACAACATAAGTCACCCTGTATACACAGCATTGCCCCGATTTTTTTTAAATGTAAATTTACCTGAGTTTTTCCTTGGCCTTTAACCGTTTTCTCTAATTCCATAGACTACCGAAAAGCGCGTAGTATAACGGCGAAATTAGTGAAATTAAGGGCTTCCGGAGAGCGTCATGGCAAAAAGAACTTTGTGTTCGTGTCACCGTGTAAGAATAAACCTTTAATTGTTTTTAATGCATTTCTTTATTGTGCACAAGTAGCTTTTAGGTGTTTATGTGAGTTTTATTTTTTTACCAGGACGATTCCCAAATGATCACTTAAGTATTTTAGAGGAGTTTTTGGAAAGAGTCTAGTCGCGGACATTTTTATTCGATCCTGATTGTACTATGCAGGATAGATTGATAATTCAAAATGCAGGACCATCAATTGTATTTCACCTGCATAGAATAGAGAAGTCGAAACACATGGCAGGCAAAAGTTTGGAAAACTTCGTTTTCAAGTTGGACAAACTTAACGAAACGACTTGACTCCTATAAATATCTTTTAACAAGCGTACGGATTGTCCTAAATTGAACTAACTTAGTTCTTCGTCATTTTGTCTCAAAGCGAAATAGAAAGTTAAAAAAATCTAAGTGAAGACTCGAATTGATTATGTATGAGAACGAAACTCCTGCCAGTTAAGTTTCGAAGCAGTTTTGCTCAATTGTCAATTATKATAATATTATGTATATTTAACACTCTGTATATTTAATACAGAGTGTTAGGACATAAAGCACTACCTAGGCTTTAGAATGATAAAAGTTGGCTAATTTCCGCCAGGATTATATTTTGTCCTAATATATGTATACGTTGCTTTCTGTACGACAAAAACACGTTTCACCACTTCTGTCTTTATTTAGTTTTTAACAAAACCCTTGTTGAAATATTTAAGACTCTTGGGAATCTCCTTCCACTTTTGGAAACTTGCTTAAATACATGATAAACGCACCCAGAGTGTAAAAGAACACATAGATTAAGTTTTTGAAATATGGATGAGGAGGGCGTTTTCTATCAGTAAATTGTATAAAACATGTCTTTAGCAGCTTTTAAAACCACCGATTGTTTGCAGAAAAGATCTAGGAAAACCACCATCATATA